GCAGGGGTTGGAACTGGATGAGCTTTATGGTACCTTCCAAACCATTCTATGATTCTATGTAGTATCAGACATTATGTCATATGGTTGGTACTTGCACTGCTCTTACATGTAATCCAATATACCAGATGTGGCTGTGGGTCATGATTTGATACTTTCAGTGGGAAAGGCAGCAGGAGAGACGTCTGGATTGTGCTGTACAAGGATGTCATAAAGTAGTTGTTGCCCTCAGGTGTAATATGACTATGAACATTAATAGGAGCCATCCTATGTCAACCCAAAGCTTAGTGCATCCTCTCTTTTGATTTTGAAACTGGCTAGTATCAGACGTAGGAGAAGAGTATAAGAACAGGACAGCCATACAGCAGTACTTGTGTTGTGAACTCATGTGAACATTTGTCTCACCAGGACATCAGTTTAACTAAAAAAGTGAAGAATTCAGGGAGAAAAGAGGGATTACAACAAAAAAGTAGAGAAAGAAAAGAAAGTACTTGTGTGTGCTATCTGGTGTTTCACCATAATAACTGCTTAAATAATCTTGAGTGTCAGCAAGAAGTTTGGAGAAGGACTTTGGGGAAGAACATATGAAACATTTGCAGATTTCTTAGGGCAAAATCTTGTATGTCAGAAAAAACCATTGTAGTAGAGCTTTATGGAGAAACTTCCACGAAACAGTTAATGCTCTTCTGGCAGCAAAGGATTGGGGATGTAAACTAGAAAGGGAGGACAAGTACTGCATGGTTACTCTGAAAAAGCCTGGCCCCTCATGATGGGGATGAGTGGTGGGTAGTCCTCTGTCAAAGATATTTGGTGTTTAAGTCACAGGCCAGGCTCCCACCCATTGCAGCTCTGCATAACCCAGTACAGCTGGGTTAGCAATTAAAAGCCTTCTCTTCCAGCATTTACTTCGTGTTTGCCCTTGGTTTCAGAGTTCTATAAAAGGTAGCGATTTCATTTCATTGTATATGGATCTGTTAAATATCACCAAATAAAGGCTTCTTCAACTCATCTTTTTTTCCCAAAGGAAAAATACTTATCAGCTCCCATTTTCTGTGTACATGGACATAAAACGTCAAACATCTGTATTAAAACACTACAAATTTTGGTGTCTATTTAAGGTTTTTCTCTGAGTGATGTCCAGAAATGTGCACAGCGTGGCTTTAACATTGGTGCAAATATTTACAGTGTCTATCTGAGTCTTGGAATAACTGATGCCAGCTGTAAATCCCTTCTAAAAGAGATTGGAGGTAAGCATGAAACACTTCTGCCATTTAATTTCTAACATTTGTCATAGTGAAAAGAAGATTCTTGTGGTCTTTCCTGCTTAGCAGAGGTGTAGATATCTCAAAGCTTGATTATTTGCTAGGTAGAGAAGAAATATCTGCTCAGTGTCCCAGGGAAAAGCAGGGACAGACCAACCATTACCCACCAGGCTGGTGCTGTGTTACCAATCCACCCACCTCTCAGCAGAACAGCTCTGCATGCCCTTATTTGCACCCATAAAAGCCCAAATGGGGAAAACAGGGAGGTAATGGTGTTGTGGGAGCCTCAGGGGATATACGGGAAGCTGGGGGTGTTGCAGTGGGAGGAGGATGCACCTGAGGGTATACAGAGAACAGGTAGTATTCATGGTGGTGAGGAGCATTGGGCTGTGGAAGGACCTGAAAGCTTATAACCATATGGAGAGAATTTAGGGGCAAGATATAGGGTGCGGGAGAGGAGGGTAGGGGTATTGCTGCAAGGAGGACACAGGATATGCAGCATAGGAAGCCAGGCTTCAGGTGTGAAACACTTAGGGCTTTTTTCTCTCTGAGGCCCATTTTTGCTCTCTTAGTGGGATTGGTCATATACAGGTGTGTGTAGCTGTTAGCTTTTAGCTCAAGATCTTGTATTGGGACTATAAGTATCTTGTCCTAGGAACAAGTTCTTTACTGTGAGGGTGCTGAGGCGCTGGCACAGGGTGCCCAGAGAAGCTGTGGCTGCCCCATCCCTGGCAGTGTTCAAGGCCAGGTTGGACACAGGGGCTTGGAGCAACCTGCTCTAGTGGAAGGTGTCCCTGCCCATGGCAGGGGGTTGCAACTGGGTGAGCTTTAAGGTCCTTTCCAACCCAAACCAGGCTGGGATTCCACTGCAATCCACAAAGACACACCGGAGCAGAGCTGACCACTTCCTGAATGCATTTTTGCAGACAGCACCTCCAAAAAACAGTATGTGGAAGACTTCATTGTCCTCGTTCATGGAGGAGCAAGTGAACACATTGCTGCATTGGCTTACAAAGACCTGCCAACAGCTGCGCTCATGCAGGAGTGGGGAGATGCTGTACAGTACAACCCTGAAATCATAAAGCTTAAGGTACTATACCCAGCACTTCATTCAGCCTCACTTGGCAGAGCAGCTTGGAGAACTCTGTGTTTGAGTAAACAGGATTTAAAGAAAACAGGGAGATTTCTGGGGCACATAAGAGGCACGTATCATGCACATTAGTTTCTCTAAGACTGGGTATTCAGAAAATCAAAGGTGTGATGTGTTGGAAGTATGTGAAGCAAACAGCTTTAACCCTTGTAACCTGTCTGTGCAGATGTGGTCACTTGCTGCCTACCAAGCAGTTCAGACGATCCATCTTCTGCTTTACCAATGTAGCACTTATCAAATGTATATCTGCCAGCATATATTTTTTAAGGACTTCTTTGGTTCTTGTCTTCTGTGAGCACCAGTGACTATTTAGCAACAATTCTCTCTGGTTCAGAAGGTCAGGCAGTTCACCATCCATGCCTGGGTGTTCGTCCAGCTTAGCTAAACCTTAGAAATACAAGTAGGTTTTGAAAAGTGAAGGGGTTTTGATCCTGAAGAGGTTTAGAAATGCAAGGCACTGTGAGAGTAAAAAGCGAGCAGAAGTATGTAGCAATTCTGCTTCATCATTTTTAGTGTCAGAATGAACTCACTCTGAGTGAATAGTACAAAAGTGGGAGAGAACGTCCTTTTAAACAGGAGTTTGAACTGGTAGTGGTGGAAGTTAATTTTATTATTGTGTTGGTTTTCATGGTAAAATTAAATTTTAGGCAACAAATGTATTTGTAAAAGGTGTTTGTTTCTCATAGAAAATTCTGACTTTTCATAAAAAAGAAAAAGATTAATTCCAAAAGAATATGAAGCAAAGCAAAAATCACTTATTTGGAAATACAGCCAGTGCCTGTCTAGCACTTGCTGCAGCAGAGGTGGCTTTCCCAAACCGCTGGTGTGCTGTGGGTTGAGCTTTCCAAAATGCCCTGGGAGGTCTTTGGGCAGGAGACTCAGAACTGCAACCATCTGTGCTAGATGCCATGTACAGAAAATTCTCCCACAAGAAACAGTGATGTTCTTTGTCTTGCCTGGCATCAGTGACCAGACGGCCTGGTGGACTGATGTAATTGGGATTTGGTATCTATAATCCTTCATTTCCATACCAATATCCCTGTGGGGCTTGAAGATCAAAAGTACCAGCAGAGTGTGACTAAATGTCAGCCCAAGAATGCTTAGTTAGGGAAAACTAAAGCAAATCAGTTCATAAATCATCTGCTGAAGGGACTTGGCAGGTCACTCTTAGTGTATTTCCTCATTTGTATGATCTGAATTCAAAAGGCAAAGTATGGATCACATAATTGATGAAGAGAGGATGTACAGCAGGAGGAAATGAGCATTTTTTTATTGAAACACTCTTCTGTTTCTTGTAGCTTGAGCACGCCACTGCCATTAGTGGGTGACTGGCAATATTGAGACCACACTTTAACTTTCCCTTGTTCTCAGGAGTAAAATAGATGAGCAGGTCAAAATCTCCTTGGTCACTACTGCATGTCCACCCCCATATCTTCTTCCACTGACCCCATCTTCAGATGAAGATCACTATCCTCTCCCTTCTGAAGGCAGTGGAAACCCTTATCTTGGCTTCATAAAGAGAGAAATCAGCCATGAAATGCGAGGTGGAGATGGTGAAAGTGCCAATTTGAGTGCCTGTGACCGTGTGCCTCTGGCTGTGCTGTATGGCTGTAGGAGGAATGAAGGAGATTCTTCTTGGTGGGGTTTGGGGGGATCTTTTTGAAATCAGAGTGTGAGAGCCCTCAGGAACCTAAGTTTGAGCAAATCTGATCTAAAAATGTCAGTATCAGGAGAATGGATGAGAAAGGATTTAATGAGACTTCGTTGCCTGTTTGTCAACTAATGGTTGTATTTTGTTATGCGTTTGCAACTGCTTTGGTGTTATAAACCAAGTGGGGATCCCCATGAGTATTCCTGATGTCACCGCCCTGTTGTTTGCAAGGCTTAAGGGATTACTAATGGGAAACCTGGAGCCTGTACCACAAGGCCTTCATTTCCCTCTCCAGCTGTGCCACCAGTGAGCCCTGCGATGCTCACACCATCTTGAACCTGGGTTTGAATACAGGTTCTTCCCTCCCTTTAGGCAGAGCCGCTGTATCAGCTGGTGACTCCAACTGACTTGCCCAACGCAATCACAGTGAAAGAAAACCTGCGACGGGCTCTTGATGAGTTTCAGATGGAGACGAGTTCTTGTCGCTGTGCTCCCTGCCACAGCAATGGCATCCCCCTTCTACAAGGTAGATGGATTTTGCACCTTTTCTCTATGAATGGAATGAGCTGGGAGTTTGTGGGGAGTGAAGAAGCTTGGTGAGTCATCTGCTCCTTAGTTTCTCCTGTCATTTCTTTTTTATCTAAGTTGGTCTGTTTCTTCAGTGCCACCAGTACGTAAAGATGGTAAAGTCCAGGAATGTGTCTGTAAATGGGAGTGACCATCTGTATCAGTTGTGTGGAAGGATTTGTTCCTTCTCAATTATGCATTAGAAAAAAAAGCTTGACATCTTTAAGTCTCCTCCTTTGCTTTCAAGATTGCATCCCTCCTCCTAGAGAAGTGACTACTGTCTCAGCATTAATTAGTGTTTGTAAAAGCATTTTAAAGATGAAAAGCACCACGCAAGTGCCAAGCGCAGTTATCACCATCACCTCCCCCCACTTTCAATAGAAGCTGTCCTCCTTTGTAAGCAGGTTGTGATTTAAAAATGAAGGGGAAAAATAATCAAATTGAATGAAAACTGCACTGCTTAAACAGAGATATAGGATGTGATGAGAGCTGCTAACAAAGGGACCATTTTGTGAAGTGCCTAATTCCAATCTGCATCTGCAAAAGTCCTGATGAGAACCGTTATCATCTAAATGTATCTAATGCAGAAACCATCCTTTCATGTACCAGCTACTTGGTTGTAGCACTTAAAGGATTTGTCTCGTGATTACCCTTATTTAAACAACTTTTTAGGAGCTGAGCCAGGTTAACGACTCATTTAGGATCTTCTCAACAAGAGGTTTTAAATGACCATTTAATTTCCTAAGTGGGAGCTCCCCTTCAGGGTTCTGCTGTGGATGAACATCCTAGCCCTGGGCAGCCAGAGCAGGGTTATGTGGACTTTTCCTCTGCCATAAGGTCAAGCTGGGATGCTCCTGTCCCAGGTGCTCACTCCTGATGCTGCAGTTTGTTCCCTCTCAGCTATACCAAGATAATGTCTCTTGGAGAGGAGCAGAGGGACTGTTTGGTACCCTGGCTTGCTGAATTGCTCCACTGGTGTACTTGAGGAATGCAGCAGCAGGAACACATGGCCAGGAAGGATGTCAGGGTAGTCACAGCTCCCTGCTTTACTGCTGTTTCATACTCTGACCATTGGAGAAAGGTGCTGATATTTCACCCGCTGTCCCTTCCTCAGAAGATGAAGCACCAAAAAGAAATGGGCATCTGGAGGGAGCCATGACCTGAAGTCTCTAATCCCACCATCTCTTACTTTCAGGAACCAAGTGTGAATGCTTGTGTCCCCTTGGCTACAGTGGCACTGCCTGTGAGATAAACGAGAGGAAAGGTAAGAGGGATCCTAGATCCAAGGAGACAGTCCCCAGTGTCCAGGGATGGCAGCTGATGGATGGGGAGTAATGCCCAGCACTGTCTGTCCCCACTATGCCCAGCCCAACTGACAAGGTGTTAGGGTCCTGCAAAGAAGACAGATACTTTGCCTGCCCTCTTCTATATTTCTCTGCACTCGTGAGGAGATGGCTTTATTTTGCAGTGCAGACCTGCATAAACGTGCCTGGCAATTGTATCACAATACAGACTCCTACCTAATTTACAATCTGCGACAAGCCTCAGGTCTCCAACAGTTCTGTTTGTTAAGTTTTTCCCTTTGATACAGCCAGTATGTTGCAAACTGTTTTCCTCCAGATACGCTACCATGCATTTTAATCTTTAAATCTTATTATGTTGTTTAGAAGCATTTACAAATGCTTCTTGGTCACTTTTTTATTGCTGCTGTCTCCCAACTGATGCTCTTAACTCCTTCTAGTTTAGGGTGATCTGTGAATTTAATCATTTTGTTTACTTCGTACAGCTCATTAATTTACATACTAAGTAATACCAGATCTCAGGCACCCAGAGCTCTGGCACCATCCCACAATTTGATGCACTGCATCTATCATTGTGCTTGATTTACAGTCTTTTAGCCAGTATTCATTCTGTATGATTGTGTCATACCTAAGCTAGGCTGAAAAGCATTTTAAGGCAAGATTTCACTAAGCAGAGGGTCAATTTTGTAGGTGTTTCTAAGGAATTCTATGGAACTTTAAACTGTGGAGTCTCTTACACCTTGTTCCAGTCTGCTTACCACACACATAATCGCATCCAACCCTCCCAAAGACTCACATCCATCCACTTGTCAACATGTAACTTCCCTCCTCACTCCCCTTTCCTTCTTTTATGTATTGCCTCCAAGTTCAGCCCCATGACTCTCAGGATTTTGAATTTATGTCACTCACATGCTCAGGGTCCAGAAGAAACAGTGTAATAGGAAAAGCGATGGATAGAAAACTGAATATTCAAGCTGTTGTTCATTGAAGAAGAACGTGCTAACATTTCCCCTAGCACCTCAGAATGTGGCTGACACGAGTTTAGTTGCTGTTTTTCTTGCCTAGCCTTGACTAAGTCAGAGGGAGAAACATGCTACAGGCAAATATAAAGCTAATTGGGTTTTTTCCCCTTGTCATTGCTGTATAAAGTATAGTTTGAACGAACACCAGAAATGCTGAACAGAGAATTAACATCTTTAAAACGATCGCTCATTGTTGTTGACTCAAGTATATTCTTAGTGGTATGGACAGGGGCAGAGCTGTTTGTATTTAAATATGATTCATGGAAGTTGACAGCTATTCCCATGGAAAAAGCTGCTTTATTCTGACAATTCTTTCTGGCTTTGGGTTCTTTTTTCCAGATGCTGCCATTAGTGGAAGCTGGGGTTGCTGGGCCAGCTGGTCTCCATGTTCAGGAGGACAACGAACAAGGAGACGACAGTGCAACAACCCTGCCCCACAGAATGGGGGTTCACCGTGCTCAGGGCCAGATGCTGAGACAGTTACTTGCTAGAGAGAATCATTAGGAACTTACACAGAACTGATGAGCAGTTTGCAGACAGAATGGAAAGATGTCACCTGACTGGATCAACTAAGTTGGCCTCAACCTGTTTATGGGTCTTACCCAAGTGCACTGAAGTTGGAAACGCTTCAGATGATGTTGGGAACTGGATGTGTGTTGTAAATCACAACTTTGGACGTGCTTTGCAGTTGTCCCATGGGACTGAATGTGCTTACTCTTCTTAATAGTTTTACTTTTCTCTGTTTTTATTGCAATGGGCTGAGACAAGCTTTATCTCCTACCTTCTTTGGTAGCTGCATGATTTTAAATTTCACTGTCTTGTTTGTGAGGGTTCCTTTGAGATAAGAAAAGACTCTTTGATCTTACGTGCACCAGAATGTGCACTATTATGCAGCTTCTGTGAAGACAGCTGTGTGATGTGGAGCAAAATACAGCATATTAAAGTCTAAATCTCAACCAGCACAATAGTAGCTAATGTGACACTTAAAGCTGCTGTGCCTCACTACCCCAGTTTCCCAATTTATTGTATTTAACTTCAATTGTCCACTGTATTAGAGATTGTCTTGAAGGAGTGAAAACTGAACTGGGAGGAACAGTCTGGGGACACCAGTGTTAGACTATATAGCAGTTGTACTCCTGCAGCAATGAGCTTCCTCCTGTGCATTGCTTGAAGTAGAACAAACAGACACACTGAGAGTATTGGATATGCCCTGGTGTGCTCGGATACACCGAGGCTCTGGTTCCTTTGGAAGGCAGGGAAGGATAGGGGCATGCCGCTTGGATGGGGAACTGGAAAGCAGCTGCTGCTCCTTCTGCTTCTTGGGGATACTGGAAGGAAGGAGAGATGGCTACACATGCAGGAGGAGCTGCACCCTGACTAGGGGCTGTCACTCCAGGATGCCAGAATCTTCCACTGGGGCAGGATGAGCAGCCAGCTTTTCTGCCATGGCAGAATAGACTGAACATTTTGGAACAAACATCTTTGCACATCCTCTGAGGTCTTCTGCCTTTAGTAGGTGCCTCTGCCCCAAGCAGGTGCATTGGTTTGATCCCGTGAAAGCCTGTATTTCAGCAGCTGCATTGCTAGTCCACTTGGGCTAGGACATCTGAGATGGAGAGAGCTTGCTATGAAAAGACCCAAAAGCGAAGTGAATGGTTTTCCCTTTGTTACTGTCGCTGGAGCTGTGTGTTGCAATCCAGGTCAAACAGAAGAGAGACGTGTAATATTGTGCACTCTTTGAAGACTGACCCGAGCCTGGATCATCTCAGGGACTTTTCCTACGGCTTTGTTGGTGGTTAATGATTTTTTGCAAAGACGTTTGATGGGGCATGATGTAAAATAACCAGCAACAGCTTTGCTCCAGGAGAATGATTCCACCAGTGCAAAGTTGTTCATAAGTATTGTGAGTCTTCTAACATCTGCAAGGTCAAATGCTATTCTGAGGGTTTCTAGCAATGCTGGTGATGATGGGTTGGGACCACCAGTTCCTTTCCTTTCAAGCTGATGCTGTCTAAATGTAACAACTCGGGCTTTCTGACATCTGAACAATGGAACATGCATTTAGTTGTAGCCCTCATGCCGCCTCCACACTTATTGACAAGGTTTCTGTGACAGCTTTAAGAAAGGAAGAGCGCATTGCATATGTAAAAGAAGAGTGCTCTGTACTCATTATGGGCTTCGTAATTGAGCTGCCAACCCAAAACATTTCCGTTATCCACTGTGTAGCTGTGATATCTTTTGTCTGATAGAGGTTTGTCAAAGAGGTTCATTTTCAGTCATGGTCAGTGAGGTCACTGCTTATGTGAAGTGTGTTATTCTTCAGAGATTTCTAAAGGGACACAGTAGAAGCTCTGCAGCAGAGAACCCTGGCCATGGTTCATGGGTACCTGTGAGGACACATATTGCAGGGCTGTTACCTGCCCTTCTTGGGAAGCATAGATGTAATCTGATTAAGGAACTTTCCCAGATGAGTCAAGTGGCTTTGGTAAATCTGACCACCTTTCCTGATCATCAGGCTGGAGTAGGCATGGACACAGAGCCATGGCGCATCTATCCACTGCTGTGGCAACCTCAAATTGGACTGTGGTTCCCACATCAGAAAAGCCCAGGTTTTTTGAAGTGGCAGTGCCCGGGTTTGGATATTTGGGTGGGTTTTTTGGAGGAGAGAAGAGATTTGACAATCACAGAATCATAGAATGATTTGTGTTGGAAGCGACCTTAAAGCTCATCTAGTTCCTACCCCCTGCCATGGGCAGGGGCACCTTCACTAGACGATGTTGCTCAAAGCCCCATCCAATCTTGAAGATCAGCAGGATAGTCTAACTGAAGAATGATTTCAGTAGTGCTTGAATACTGAGCCTAAAGGCTTAGAAGCCTCCCATAAAGGACGTAACTTTATCGTGTCCTTGTGATTTTGTGCTTTGATTCGACTAACTAATGATTTATTATGACCTGGAGGGTAATATAAAATACTGTGCTGAAGCTTTTATTGTTTCATTTTGGTACGCATTAAATTTTGGTACTATCTTTTACTGGTGTTTCTAACTTCACCTTTCTGTGTAAGCTTAGATTAATAACCCACACATGAAAACGGGAAAGCAGCAGGCAGGTTGCGTGCATGTTCTGCACTGGCTGTGCTGTTCTAGCCTGTTTCTCTGGTTAAGCCACTTGTGACAATGGGCTTTACTACATCCCATGTTGTGTTCTCACATAATGAAAAGAAATATAGTAATTTCCCAAAAAAAGAAACACAGGAAACATGGAGAAGCTGTATTTTCTTCACCTCCCTGCTTGAAGACATTGCAGCTGTGATTTATGTTGGATCTGGTCAACATGACTCAGGAAACTCTCGAAAGAGTATTTTAGGTAAGTTGTAATTGTCACATCCAGCTCTCCCAGGACAAAAACTACTTGTCTCTCGCAGCCTCTAACATCTCCATCAGGAGTGGCTAAATCAGACTGGTTTCCAGCCTGGATTCACATGCTCCCTGTCTTTTCATATCACGTAGACACTTTACATTTACCTTTGAGGCTGGAATATGATCTAAGCTGCGGCTGGGGACTTGCAAACCTGGTGGTAGCTGTAGTATTGCTAAACTCCTTTATCATGCTCCTGTTTCTCTTGCTATCAGATGCATATAGTTGTTCCTCCCCGGGTTCTCACCCAGGAGAGATTTTCTTGAAAGACCCAGCAAGTCCATGCAGAGGTGTTAACAGTCCCCAGATTTCCAGCTCCTAGTTCTTCTACTTTGATGGCTAAAGAGCCCAGCGAGCACCCAAGATAACTGCCAGATTTCAGGTCAAATTATGCCTGTAGATCTGTCATCTTCTATATCTTATTTTACCACCCCCCTGCTTTTCTAAATGAACACAACTAGAAAGTAAGACTAATTATTACCATTATAAACATGTATTTTTACTTATTTGTAATGCAGCATTAAAAGTCCCACTGTGTTGGGTGTGATGGAGCAGCACAGCAAACACCAGTCCCTCCCCAAACTCTCCAGAACATGGCATTTTTTTTGTTTCAGGTTTTTGAGGTAGGATTCAATGTTTTGTATCTTCCTGTGTCTCTGCATTACACTGTGTAAAATGGAAGGCAATAATTTCTGAGCTGCTTCTGCTGGGGAATTTTTGCCTGCTCTAAAATCACAGGCTCAAAGGGATGCAGGCGCTTGGGTAGTCAGCGTGACATTGACCCCGAGGTAGAAAACAGCTCTGTCTCAAGCGCTGCCCTTATCTACTCTTCTGTTAGCTGGTTATCTGGAGGCTGCACCTTGCCACCTCAGGTGTATTGTCATCAATCATTTGCTATTTTCTTTTGCGTACTGGTTCCTCTCTGCCCTTCCTTTGTTAATAACCCAGTTTGCCTATATCCATAAAAATATCTGATTGTGATACCATTTATCCAAAGCACCATACATCCATCATGTACTTATGAGCGAGATAAACAAGGTCTCCTGGGAAATATGCCGCAAGAAATATATAGGATAAATAACTATATCAAATGTATGTCAGCGTGCAAGAGGGGAAAATCCATTCATTAAAACCAGGGTGGAAATGCAGTGTTTTATTGTACCCTCCAAGCTTTTAGTTTAAGTAAGAAACGCACGTTTTTGCTGCTTATCTCATCTAGCACAACTCTCTATATATTAGCTGCTTTGACTGGCATTGTAAATGTGTAATTGCTCATAATCTGTTTTTCTTTCCTCCCAGACCTTACAGGCAGCTTCTTCCTTTCTTTTGACTTCAGCTTCACTGCTCCCGAGTTTCATACATGTGGATGCCTGAGCCCTGGGTGCGGCAGCGGACTGGAGTGGGAGGACAGGGGCTGCTTCTGAGCTGCCTTTGGAAGCTTTTGAAGGAAACCTTTGGGTTTGTATTTCATTCCCCTGGGTGGGGAGGTGAACAGTGAGAATGCACAACTGCAGGTAAATCCCAGGTTTTTTTGCTCTTATTTTTATGTGCTTCTTGGTGGTATTTCACATGCAGTTTCTTTAATCATTTGGATTTGGTTTTTGTGGTTCCGCAGCCTGTGATCGATCCTTCTAGAAATGGCTCTAAAAGCTGAGGATGCAGGTTGCCTTCCTGCAGGCCCCGTCTCTCCCCAGTCTGCAAGGCATCAGATCATTCTGTTCATTAATTTCTTCCCTCTGGTCCCAAAAGGAGCATACTCAGCTTTCTAACTGAGGTGACTTTATACTCATTTACTTTCAATCATTGCCCTGAGTCCTAAGCAGTCAGTGTAAAGGTAAGAATTGCCTATGAGCCAAACTGGTCCTTGGTGCAAGAGCACTGCATAATGTTTCTACATAACCTGCCAGCCCAACGTCAAACAGCATTGATAAAACCACCGATGGGAGAACTTTCGATCCTTCATTTCACATTTGGGATGTCTAAATCATACCAATATATGGGTGCTTCGTGCTGCTGCATTTTCCCAACATAGAAGGCATCAGATTCAAGCCCTTGGGAGCTAATTCATCTCTAG